ACTGGGCCTCAGGTGAGGAAGAATATCATGGCTGAAGGGCATGATGGAGCCATGGTGGGAGGTGGTCTTGCAGGGAAAATACTCCCTTCCAGGACACACTCCCAGTGACCCACCTCCTCCAGCTACACCCTGCCTGCCTGTAGCTACCAACCAATCAGTCCATTCAAAGTAGAATGGACTGCTTTGGTTACAGCTCTCACAATCCAATCATTTCACCTCCAAACATCCCTGCATCAACACTGGAGCTTTGGGGAACACCTCACATCCAAACTGTAACAGAATAATTTAAAGAAATGGCTGGTTACAAGAGTGAGACAGGGAAAGTACAAGATAAGCCTGGAATAACTTGTATGATAAAAGAGGAAGCTGGAAGTGAAGGGAAGGAAAGGGAAGGGCATGCCAAAAGAACTAGGTGTCATCTAGAAAGGAGCCTCCCTGGACGAATCTGGGACAATTTGAACATCAAAATATTTAAGGAAAAGAAATGATAATAACCTATTTAATAAAACAAAAACCCAGGGATCCTTGCTCATAATAAAAACAAAAAATTAAAAAGGGGTGTGGTTCTTTACAATAGAATGTCAGGTGCTAACATGGAGAAAAGGGCAGAGTTGAAAAATCTCCATTCAGCAACCATCAGGCAAGAATTGTGAATGGATAATAGAGCAATGACCTTCAAGTTCTCTCTAGAACTTAAAAGTGACATGGGCTTTATGGGAGGGTTTGTTAAAAGAAAAAACACAGGTCCCCAGAAAAGGTGGCAACAGAGAAAGGAAAAAATGGCAGGACCAAGGCTGAACCATAGCCCTAAAAGACTATGAAGGATTGGGCAAAGGAGACCAGCCCTAAAAAGGTTCAGGAGGTCGTCCAGCACCCACACCTTTCTCTGTGCTCCTGCTTTCTCCTCCCAGGGTCTTGTGTAATTGAATGCAATGTCAGCCAACCAGGTATGTTTCCTGGCAGCAAACATAACAGGCTGCATGTCACTTTTCTTACCTTACTTAAATCCACACTAGCTTTTACCCTCTCTCAGAACAATGTCAGTTCTCTATAATAATTAGTAAATAAGTAATATGGAAAGGACAGAAGGCTGAAAATGACTTTGATTCAAATGTGTGGGCTGTGCTTCTCATTTTAATTCTACTTTACATATCTTTAAAGTCTGTCACTCACCATCATGTTTCTAAGAGTATCTGGCTACATAGCCAATTCAAACCAGGGCAATGGTGTGCTAAAGGGCAAGGGTTCTAAACATCTCAATGGGGACAGAGAGACACAGCCCCAGGAGTCCAAGGTCATAAATAGAGCAGGTTTCATTAATGCTTATGCCATAACTGTGGGTTCACCCACTTCGTTCCTTCATGACCCTCCTTAGGTTATGAAGACTATCATTGATTTTACTAATACACAAAACAAGATAGATGAATATTTCAACAGTGCACAGGTAGTGGGTTAATTCTAACATCAAGTTGCAGAATCTTTTGCATAACTTAAATTAAACCTCATTAAAACCATCTGCTTCTTACTACCTAACTGTATGCTAATCTTGGCTCTCTCATGCCTAAAATACTTGTCTTTGAAATAAGTTTGATATATATGACCCAGATAAAAAGGAAACATAACTTAGGGTCCAGAAAAGAGAATAACAATTAATACACAATTATCCTTTGTCAAAAGCTTTTAAATAATTTTAGTTGGGAAACTTTTTCTTCAGATGAAATCTTATTTAAAAGTGCACAAGTTCACTATACAAAATAAAAGTGGAACCACTTGGATAAGTGGGCAGTGGGAATATGGAGACCCACCCACTTTGGATACGTTCCTGGCAGCCCAAGTCACAGAAAGTCACTGCCACGTGTTGCCACTTAAAACAAGGTTGCCACTAAAAACAAGATCCTCCAAGTATGAAATACAGAATTTAAATGTAGAACTATCATACTCATCATTACATACAGAAGAACATGAACAGAGTGAGTAAAAAAATCTTCTTAATACTTAAGCACATATAAGATCAGTGTAAGAGATCATTTTGGCATTCAGGTAGCTGTTCATTAATGTTATAAACTACAAACTGACATTGGAATGTGATGTTTTGATTACCGTTTTTATTCTAATGTTCTCATATCCTAAGTACCTTCTCAATTTGAAGTGATAAAAACTCAAGAGGTTCGAGAAATACTTTTAAATGATGATAATGACAATGTTATTTACTTATTTCTAATCCCGACAAATACATAGTTTAAATTTTCTAACTAGGTCATTATTTCTTACTTTTTAAATAATTAATCTATAATTTTTAGGAACTGTGTTAAAGGTCTAGGATTTCTCTGTTTCCTTTAACTACAAAAAGGAAAACCTAAAATTCCTTCTAACTCTGAAATTCCTTTAAGTCAAAATGAAGCTGCCTCTTGTTACTGTTTTGCTTCTGCAAAAGCAGAACAAAACCACATTAATAGTTAACAAAGCTACAATATGATATCCGAATGAAGTCTTGCATTAAGAAAGTACTCAGACTGTATTTACAAAAGAATCTCTATCATTAATTATTCAACATTTGGATGTGACCAGAAACCAGAGCCTAAATTTATACTGCTCTGTTTAAATGAACTATTTAATGTTGTAATGAACATTTGGTAGAGTGAGCTCTATGAATTTCAAACCTGTTGTACTAGTACTGTTTTTCCAATTTTTTGATCAATGGACAGATTTTAATGTTAAATCAGTATGAATTTTACTTGTTCTTTAAAAATGTTTATTTAAACCAAAAATTTTGCATCTCAAATATTATATATTCTAAAACTGAATATAGTTTGAACCAATGCATTATTCATAAAGCAAAGACACCAGGAGAAGCAAAGCTGTGTGCTTCTTTCAAAGCTGTTAAATTGCTAAAACATACCATATTTATGCATGCAATATTTGATTGTTTTTCTTAAAACACAAGCTTGTTTTTGTCAGATCAAGATATGCCAAAAATTCTACACCAAACAATTTTTGCTTATAATTAAAGCAATCATCAATCCAAGGATTGTTATTCATTTTATTTCATCTCTACTTCAAAAAAAAAAAGGTAATTTTAAAAAAATTTTAATTCCCTTGAAATGATAAGATAAATGAAAATGTAAGTGCCTTCACATAATAACAGTAAGCTGACCCTTTGGGAATGGTTGACTTTCTCAATGCGAGGCATTCAAAGCTCATTCAAAAGTGTTCATTTAGAATGCAGATATCAAAGATGATGCAAATGTTCAAGAGAAAATGAGAACTTACCAGATGTTCTAATCCAGCTTTGATGTTTCCAGATTCCCTAAAATAGAAGAATAAAGTTCTAAATAGTTGCTAAACCCTTGTCTGCTCCAATTTATGTTTACTTCAAAAATGGTTTATAAACCCTCATGCTTATTCATCTATCTTTACTAATGTTCACAACAGTGCTGTTTTTCAGGACAAAACAATTTCCACCAAAAGAGAACAAATTAATTATATCAAATAGCACTACCTCTAAAACTAGTATTCCACTATCAGAAAAAATGTTTCAGACTTTTCAAAGTCAATGGAGAACAAAAAGAAGTCAAGTATATAATTATTTTACTATTTGCACAATAATATGCTCATTTCATGTCAATTTTTTTTCACTAGCAGTTATGGTTATTTCCAACATTTGTTATGAAAATATTCAAACTTACAGATTTTATCTACCACCTAAATCCTAGAATTGACATTTTACTTTATTTGCTTTATCAAATTTTCATCCATCAATGGTTGTACTTTTCTATAAAGAATACACATGGTAAAGAACATGTTTGTGACTATCAACTACACAGCTAGTAACTAAATCTTAACAAATTTTTCTTGACATTGAGTTTATTAATTTGGTGCTAATCAGGACCTAAGACTGTTGTAACATTAAAAAAAATGTCAGCAAAGAAAACACAAACATTAATTAATAAGCATCGTGATATATTTTAAATATTTAATTTCTTGCTTTTCACTGTAAAAGAAACTGTTGATGGAACTATAAATACAAGTATCTATACAGGTAGCAAAGAAAATTTGAATATACATGCCGGACACAGTAGCCCTATGCAAGTTAGTGGAACCCTGTCTTAAATTAAAAACTAAAAATGCATGCTGAGGATGTGGCTCAGAGATTGAGAGCCCCTGGGTTAAATCCCTGGTAACACACACACACGGCACATTTGGTGAAGCATAGCAAATAGTTGGGTATTTCTTCTGATTTCAAGCTACCTCCAACAGTAAACAATATTCTTACATTCCTGATATTTACTGTTCTCCCCCTGAAACTTTGTTTCTCTAAAGTCACAACTTGCTTTTCTATTTCTGTTTCCTAATTTTTCTTTCCTTGAAAATAAACTTTGCTTGAAAATACGCTCCTTTTTCTTGTCTTGCTATACTATCTTCCCAAATACCCGACCTTCATTCCCTGTAGCAAAGCAGCACACAGGGCTTCCCCCAGCCCTCCACTCTCACTGCCCTGCTCGGCACCCCAGGAGTAAATTCCCACCTGTACTCATCCTCAAGCATTCTCTAATCTCTAATGTCATCACAGTCATAAAGACAAATGACAGGAATCAATTACCACAAGGTGTAAGAAAAGGCTACTGTCTATATAAATAATCATTTTAAGCTTTATTACAAAATTAATATGTTTAGTGGAGCTGGAATGCCAATGAATCTTTAAGTTTTCACAATGATATTCTCATAGTTATTTTCATAACTTAAAATTTAACAAAACAAAAAAGAATAACATACATAGTAAACATCTAAACAAGACAACATGTGTGTATCACAAACACACTACACACACATAAGTGAATTATGTCTCCTTCCCACTTATGATCCCCAGTTCTCAATCACTGATGCTCTTTAGCCCTACCAGGAGATTCCGCACACATGTGTGTCAGTGTCTGTCACTCTTCTGTGGTTAGAGCTTTCCCTGGGTATTCTTCCTTGGAGTTGGTCCTAAGAGAACACAGACACTCCAACTTCCCCCATGGCTATACTGTCACACAGTAGTTCTTCCTTAACTACAACCTACAATACAAAAAGAAGAAATCTCTCAGATTTAAAGCACAAACTGCTGGGGCTAGGGATGCCTGGCTTTTAGAAAGGTAACATGATGTCTGCACACACCTTATGTCATCTTCATATATGTTAATAGTTCTAGAAGAGACTGTTGCTGTCAACTGAGTTTCTCACAAAGTCAAGGAAAATCTTTCAGCTTTCCAAGCTATTTGCATTTTGGAATTAAGGATAAGAAACTATTGTTTAAATAAAAGAAAGGGTAGACTATTGCCTTCATATGTTCCCAAATGATTCTTAATGAAAATATATGTTTTGAATGGCATGGCTCAGAGAAAACTAGGCATCATTTTTGACCCGCCTTCCTTGACTACCAAAGGTAAACTGATGGTGTCCAATCAGGTCACCTTCAGTTTACCTTTGGTAAAGGAAATCCTTCAGGATAATTCTGATCTAACTGCTTCTTTCTGTCCCTACAGCTCCTGCTTCAGGCCATCTCTTTTCTCATTCAAATTACTGAAAGGGTCTCAATAGCTCCTGCCTTACCCTACTTCATTGCATTCTCCATAATAATGCAAAAATCTTTCTAAAATGTATGCTTGGTCATGTCAACACCATTCTTTAAAACTTATTAGCAGTTTCCTCATTACCTCTGTTACTTTGCCAAAGCTATATACCACGGAAAGTTATAGCAAAGGACATGACAAATTGTTCACCTGGTTTCATTCACTACTGAACCACTTAATCTCTCCGCCCAAAAATGTTCCTTTTCGCCCAGTTTCTTCTCAGCCTCCTCATCAAATTAGCAAACAATCAAAAAACATCCTCCATGACTCAAGTTGAACAGCGTCTCCACCAAGCAAATACCTCTTTCTCCCCCATGGAAATCTTGCCACATGTTCCCTTAACACTCTAGGCATGTCCCATTACAGGACATCATAATTCACTGTAAATATATGTGTATTTTACCACTGATGCCACTAAAGTGAAAACTCCTCATGGGCATACAGGACATCTTAATTGTTCTATTCCAGCACCCACTTACAATGTCAGAATTAGAATATGTGACCTCTAGGAAGGGACTCAATCTGATCATCATGAGACAAATCTGGGTCGAGAGCCAGGAGCAACCAGCCCAGGCCTCTGAGGGCCATCCCCAACCCCTTCCCACCCCCAACTCACATAAGAGCAGGCACTTTGCAAGGGTGAGTGTTGCCTTACTTTGGAATAGTAGATGTGCATGTGTAGCTGGAACATGCGCATAGGGCAGGCGGGACTTTGCTTTGGCTTCAGTCCTGTTTCTGAAGGAGGAGAACACAATGGGAAGAGGTTGAGAACAGACTAGAAAGTGAGAGGCTTTCCGCCTCCATTCTCAAGTTAACCCAGAGGAGGCCAAGCTAAAGCCTCACCTTTCTCCCCTGCCTTAGGTCTAGTTAGTAGCCTAGGCAACCAAATGCCCCAAGGAAACACAAGGAAAACTTCAAGCTGCTTAAACACAGGAATGGGGGAAAAGCAAATAGAAAGAATTCACCTAGAGAAAACAGAACAGATTGAACAAAATGATACTTTATATCTTAAATAAAAGATTTGTAGAAATATAAGTACGAAAATACAAGTATGAATCAACATGTGACTGTGGGTATTAAAATAGAACAGTCTGAAATAAAGAACTCAAGGGGTAGATTAAAAGCACATTAAGCACAGACAGAGGATGAGTCAATGAGATGAGAACCTGCATGGAAAAGCTATTCGCGAATGCCTAGAGAGGGGGTGAACAAAACAGGCAGGAGATAAGTAAAAAACAGGATTAGAGCATTCACATCTATATCACAGAAATCACAGGAGACCAAAGATAGAATGGAAAGGAAGAAATATTTTTTAAAATGACAGGAAGTCCTCAGATTAAAAGAATATTCAAATCTCAGATGGGAAGTACACCTGGAATGCCGAATGGAATAATTATGGAAAAATTCACAGCAAAGCATACTGTAAGAACACAGAAGAGTATATGGATCTTAAACACTTCCAGAAAGAAAAAGGAAACCCTTCCATAAAGGAAGAGTAGCACCAATGGCAGAGGTGTCAACACTCAATACAGTCATGACTCTCAAGATAACGTGTTCAAGAAAAAGAACTAGGTATTTAGAATTTACACATAGCTGGTAAGCTACTGTTTAAATAGAAAGAAAAAATAGATTCTCAGCATACAAGGCCCAGAAAATTCACCACATAAAAACATCATTTGAAAAAAGTCTTGAGGAAGGTAATGCAGCATGAAGAGAAAGAAACTCGGGAAGAAGCAACAAGACAGAGCAGGCAGGAGGATTAGCTCCAAACTCAGCACTTATGGGAGCGAGCAACCAGTGGACAAGAAGAAAGCTAAAGGAAGCCCTTCCTGTCCATCTGGGGAAAAGGCTTATTGACAAGAGAGTGGTAATACAAATGATTCAGAAGAGTTTTTTAAACGGGATAGGAAAAACCAAGCAGGGAAACACGAACCAACAAAAGCCAAGTGAAAACTCCAGTGACAAAATACACTTCTGTTCCTGTCCCCTCCAAATACACATATTCACACAAAAAAGAAGGATATTCTACTTTAGGAAAAATCATCATGGCTTGAGAAGTTTTCATTTATATCTACGAGGTTTGCACGCTTATTACCTGGGACACCAAAGTCTGAGCAAATTCTACCTAAAAATCAGTTATTTACTTGTACTTTGGGCAAAAGGACAAGGCAATGTGACCATTTCAAAACAACAAAAAATCCTGCATACATAAACAAAACACAAGATGGCATTGTGCATGATCCTGGTGCGAGGAACAGAATACCTAAATCTGAACTTGAGCTCAACTACGAAGCAGTCAAGGAACTTGTATGGACCACCAGGGCCTGAGGCTCAAACGTGAGGACTGTGTGAGGCCTGCAGTACTGTGAAGAGGCAGTAAGAAAGTGAAGGTGCGACAGAAATGACATCATGGTGGATGGTGTTTAGATATAAGTCTTGGAGGTGATTCCTATAGTACTGGTGAGTTTTTAAGGATGGAGGGACCAGACCAAGACGCTGGCGGCAGGGACCTTGCAGGAAAACCTGTCCCCGTCTCAGGCTGTCTCTAGGGTTGCCGCTGTCACGACTTCATCAATACTGGTGCAACTCCTCTTGCCCTGTGCTGAAAGCAGACTTAATTCAATTATAGGTCTCAAAACTGATAAAATGGTCCTGAAGTGGAAAATGGGAAGGGATTATTGGCAAATGAATAAAGATTTGTATCGAACTAACACACAGGAGTACAGCAGGTCTTTTTTTAATCATTCCCTGTCTTAAATCTTCTGGGAACCATGAGTTTCCCTTCCCCTCATGCAGCACATCGATTTCTGAATTAGACTGCAATATTAAATAATTAATATACTTGCCATGATTGATGTTCTACATTAGCTGAATATTAGGTTATCAATCAAAATCCACTTGGTTTAATGTAATAATATTGAAAAAGTGTCCTGGGCTGCTCATCCAATTTGTAGTTGAGGCAGCACAGATAGTATTGCTGGCACACACAAGGCTCTGAAGCAGGAAATGCAGTGCTCAACACGTATGAGGCAGACATTTTGAAACTGACAGGGACAAGGCGAGGTTGTCCTGACTAAACCACGTGGCGCCTGTCAGCCTCAATCTTCAATTAAGCCATAGCAGGCAAGAGAAAAACTAAAAGTTAGATATCATTTGACCTCTTTTGCAAACAAATATCATCATTTTATCAAAAGAAACATTCTCCAAGTGCAGAGACTACAGCTATGATAAAACTGATATCTTCTTTTGAAACCCAAAAGGAGAAGGTGAATTCTTTTTTAGACTTGGCCCTACTAGGAAGGAAGAATGTCCAAGTAATCATTTAGGTATTTAATGGACTAAGGGGCTCAGGTCAAGGAACCACAATTAATACTGGTTTCATTTTTTCTTAAATCATTGTCCTTCTGATTATGGCATTCTCTTTTATGCTCGGCATTTTGTATCCATACTTATCAAAAATATTAGCTTAGAAAAAAATCTAATTACCTGCTTCTCACACTAAAAGTAAGCAGTTTTTCTAATCCCTCTTCATTATATCAATCCAAACTCTACAGGTTTGCATTTAAGAGAGATATTAAAAAATAAATTTAATAAGTAAAAGATATCCAAAAGAAAAGTGACCTTTTTTTGGAAAGGAGTAGAAAGTTAAATATAAATCAAAACCATTTCATAGAACAAGCCAGAATTAAAATGAGTTTTGTTATAAAATACTCATAAACCACAATGCATAGATCTGAAATATTATTAAACTTTCATTTCAATGACTGAGTCCTTAAAGATTAAATACATTTATAATAGGTAATATATGTTATCACATATAAAATGTGAATATACATGGTAATTAAAAATAGAGTAATTTGTAAATAAAATTTTACATTAGATTCTTCGTCGTGAACTGAGTATACTATTCATGTAAAAGGTCAGTATGCTGCAGTTTTCTGTGGGTAAAAGAGCTAATATCAAGGTAACTTTGAACTTTCTCTTACATAACACATAACCTGCATTTTATTGAATTTGATGGCAGTCAAAGCTTATAAAAGTCTGAGTACATAAACCATAAAGCTATCTAAACATCTTCCATCTTAGATAATAACTGGTACTTTCTTTTTACATTTATTAGATTCTCTTATATATCAAATGTTATTAATAAAAATTTGGATAACATAAAATCTAGAAAGAACATAAATAAAAATTTCAGCTCAACTATTTTTAATTAAATGTATGATTTTTGTATATTTTCTAATTTTCTTCATTTCAAATCAAGGATTAAAAAGATAATCAGCATATAAAAAATTTAGAAGTCATTCGATGACTACTAATGAAAATATGACACACTAATAATGGATTGCTTACTACTTTCAAAATAAAAATTACCTTTATAGAAATTTTACCTTTTAAAATCACCTTGAAATCTATTTCATCTATAATACCCATACATAAATATCTACATTTTCTTTTTTATTTTTATTTTAATTTTTAAGTAATTTAAAAAAATGACAGCAGAATGCATTACAATTCTTACTAAACATATACAACACAACTTTTCATATTTCTGGTTGCATATAAAGTATGTTGACACCAAGTCGTGTCTTCATACATGTACTTTGGATAATGATGTCTATCACATTCCACCATCCTTGCTAACCCCCTGCCTGCTTCTTTCCCCTCCCACCCCTCTGCCCTATCTACAGTTTGTCTATTCCTCCCATGTTCCCCCTCCCTACGCCATTATGAATCAGCCTCCTTATAGCATAGAAAAAAACTGGCACTTGTTTTCTTGGGATTGGCTAACTTCACTTGGCATTATCTTCTCTAACTTCATCCATTTACCTGCAAATGGCATGATTTTATTCTCTTTTATTGCTGAGTAACATTCCATTGTGTACATATGCCACATTTTTTTTATCCATTCATCTACTGAAGGGCATCTAGGTTGGTTCCACAGTTTAGCTATTGTGAATTGTGCTGCTATAAACATTGATGTGGCTGTGACCCTGTAATATGCTGATTTTAAGTCCTTTGGGTATAGAACAAGGAGAGGGATAGCTAGGTCAAATGGTGGTTCCATTCCCAATTTTCCAAGCAGTCTCCATACTGCTTTCCACATTGGCTGTACCACTTTGCAGTCCTACCAGCAATGTATGAGTGTATCTTTTCCCCCATATCCTTGCCAACACTTATTGTTGTTTGTCTTCATGATAGCTGCCATTCTGACTGGAGTGAGATGATATCTTAGAGTAGTTTTGATTTGCATTTCTCTAATTGCTAGAGATGATGAACATTTGTTCATATATTTGTTGACTGATTGTATGTGCTCTTCTGAGAAGTGTCTGTTCAGGTCCCTGGCCCATTTATTGATTGGGTTATTTGTGTGTGTGTGTGTGTGTGTGTGTGTGTGTGTGTGTGTGTGTGTTTAGCTTTTTGAGTTATTTATATACCCTAAAGATTAATGCTCTATCTGATGTATGAGGGGTAAAAATTTGCTCCCAGGATGTAGGCTCTCTGCTCACCTCACAGACTGTTTCTTTTCCTGAGAAGAAACTTTTTAGTTTGAATCCATCCCATTTATTGATTTTTGGTTTTAATTCTTATGCTATAGGAGTCTTATAAAGGAAGTTGGGGCCTAATCCCACATGATGGAGATTAGGGCCTATTTTTTCTTCTATTAGACACAGAGTCACTGGTTTAATTCCTAGGTCCTTGACCCACTTTGAGTTGAGTTTTGTGCATGGTGA